AACCTTAATATAAGGTTTGTTTGCAAGGTCAGTTTAATTATATTTAGTCAATTATATTTAGCTTGGCGGTTAGTGATGATCGTTCTAAATAGGCTAATGATGTGAGACATTTGAAAGCAGAACAAATGTGTGCCATCTCAGTTGAAAGTACAGGCTTTAAACTTGAAAGAGTTTCTTGTGCTTGGGGTTTAATGCTTGCTTTAGATGTTAAAAGTGTTAAGCTAAGTTTGGTATGCAGGTGTTCTACTGTTTTACATTATCGCAGTCAGGTAATGTTAGCAGGCTTGCTTACCATCTTCACCGCGAAAAGTAATAAACGTGTAAGATGTAAGCGCTTGGTTTCCTCATAAAGTTTAAGTCGGCATGTGCGCGGCAATCGAGTGGAGAAATTAAATCCATTGATCCGTTTTCAGACATTTTATTTGTTGGCATTTTTCAGTTGCGTTGGGCGAAATCGATGGATTTCTACGAAATGTAGAAAATGGAACGAGAAAAAAAGCATGAAAATCCAGATCTTTTAACTGTGATTATGTTTCCATAATCATCGATCTCATCAAGAATACTTCGATCAGTTTCATAGCTTTTACAGACCGCATCAGGACCACGTGTTTTTCTTACACATTACATTTTCGTTTTTTGTATCGCTGTGATGTCAACCCGATTTCCAACTGTAGTCACCAAGAGCAGCAATTTATGTTGATACTAATACATATATTTTCAGCTGTGTATTATCAGCTGTATCCATTTTGAACATATCTGACCTTGTAATATACATAAAATGATGTCCAGCTGAGCAGAGCCACCATGGTATGTTTGAAAAATGTGCCGTGTGAGTATATATATATATATATATATATATATATATATATATATATATATATATATATATATATATATATATATTGAATGGTGCATCGTCAAACATACACTAAATAGGCATTATTATTTTTTTAAATAAGCTCCCATTGGAATTTTAACATACTGTTGTGTCCTTATCCAGGACAAGAAAATTGAATCTTTGATCCTGTTGTAACCTCATTAATTCATGTATTATCTTTTCTCATGAGCCAGCTGTATCATTGCACACCTATTCACTTTTTTTCCCCCTTTTTTTTTTAACCTCCAACAAGGAATTTTCTGTACCAAGTAATAATTTATTCATACTGACTTACAGAGAGGCTATTACACAAGTAACTTTGGATTTTAACATAGAGATATCTTACTGTGCGTTTTCTCTCATGTGCCGGAGCGTTCATACCCACATTCGCTGTTCTTTCGCATCACTTCCATATTCATCACTGCAGGAGATCCAGAGGGAGTGTGAGAACAGACACTGGATGCCAGTGCAAAGTGCACAGTGGTGTGTGAGAGCGGGTGACGGGTGTGAGAGAACCACAGTAACGGTTTGTGATTCGAATCATGAAAAAGCTCATGCATTCACGGATGAGTGCTTCCACAATCGCAGCATGAAATATGCATCAACCTGAAATAAGGGGCGGGGTTCCTTTCAGCATTATAATCAGCAGTGTGGACAGTGCAGGGATATAAAGACCAAAATCAAACTCTGCACCTCTGACTAGAGGTAGAAAAACAGCCTGGCTGCACTGGCAGAGGATACCAGTAGCACTGCAGAGGGAATCTAGGTTTTACTCCAGAGGCTTCAGGTTCACACGAGCCAGACAAAGTTGTCACTGTGGCACCGACCGTACCTGCGAGACGCTAGCGGCACCACGCTAGTTAGCTGCCCGAACGCCTCTGTTTCTGCGCAGGAAACACTTTGCCGAATGTTTTTCGCCAAACGTTTCTTGGCGCCTTCAAAGGCCTTTGGTCTGTTTGCTTGGTTTGTACTTCACTTTGGACTCGTAAGTATTTCCATCTTGAGAGAGAACGTCCACATGTTATGCACCGCTTGCGTTTGAATCGTCTTGGCAAAAAATAACAAACACAAAAATAAAACCACAAATAGGAACAGAGAACTGTACTTCTCACACTGTTTGTTTTTGTAAAGCCGCTTTGCTGTCCTCGACTTAAAGGGTCACATTCAGCTGAAGACACCCTTTAATATCCACAGCCGCACTTTATCAGCATCCTTATCCACCATGGAAATAGCTTCAATTTTCTTTTCAGAAAGCACCCCCGATAACCGCAATGGAGTAAATGTACAAAAATGACTGAATATGCACAAAGAAGGGAAAGGTAGTGTCCTCTGACTAGTCTACAGAAATGGGACGGCGCTAGTCTTTTTTATGTATTTTTCTTTAAGGTGTACATTTAAGAAGGGCAAATGTCTCAGTGCTATTCTGCTTCCACACAAGTTAAATGACATACTTAATCTGTTAGTATAAATTGTTATAGATTACATAATAATCTATGATAACTGGTCAATATTGGCTCTATTCTATGGTCAGATACATATGATTGAAGAAAACATACTTCTCAGATCAAATAACATCCTTAAAAACATAAAAAGGGGGTTAATTTAACCAAAATATAAGACACACTATTATCAAGTATATCAGTATAGTTGATAACTGATAGAGTGAAGTAATGACGAAGTGGCATTAACAAGTAAATTACACATAAACTGAATTATTTTCAAATTAATGCAAGCTTGAATGTATTTAGAAGCATGATACTTTTCTAATGTTCATTTCTTGTTTGAAAGAGTTTCAAAAACTTTAATAAAATAATATGATTTTGGTATATTTTATACACTTTGTAGGATTTTTTTCTTTTTTTTTCTGCAGGGAAAGATTTTCCTCACAGGAAATAAAAATATGAACCTCTGCATAGCCCACAGATTATGTCTGCTTTTATTTTTAAAGAAACGTTATTTGAACTGTTCTTTGATGGGCAGAAAACGAGAACGAGGTGTGAGCTTTGTAATGACAGGCCCGGTGTCACGTCTGTGGAAACGAGAACGGCATCAGCTGCCAAGAGAGGAGGAAGAAGAAAGACAAAGGCGATGATAACGACTCCCTGGAAAAGAGCACGTGAAGGAGGGGTCGTGTCCCTAACATTTAAAAAATTATAACAATGACATGTTGAAGCGAGAAAGAGAAAAAAAAAAGACTGTCTCATGGTGAAGAGCTTAAGAAGAGAAAAAGAAATGTCACACTTATAAGGCTGCAGGTTGAGCTGCTGATCTCTCTTTGGTCTTTTTTTTTTTTTTGGGACAAATGTCTGAGGTGATCACATCAGAAACGCCCAGCGCTTTGATCAGGTGAGATTACACCCAAGACGTCTTGAGGACATTAAAACATGACTGCTAGGATAATGTGACCGCATATGGTGACATTATTAAACACAGACTTTTCTTTTTTTTATTATTTTATTATGTACGTAAATGTAACATTTCTTGCTAATCTGACATCTTCCATTGGCGTAACACATTCCCAAAAAGGTCAAAGCGCGGGATGGGGGACGACTGCCTGTCTTGAAAGTAGGAAAGCATTTGTCTTTGTAGAAACTATGTTTGTGTGAAGAAAAGGGGAGACACCTGATCACAAGCGGTTACTTTCAGTGTCACCCTGGATGTGAGTTTGCTTGCTTTTAGCTGTCCACCGACACAAAGGAAGATCAAACAGAATTTGTCTCGATGCCTGGTGTGATTAGGGCTTCTGTGTCCCAGGTGCCTGAACGCCTACAGTAACGTTAAATGTCCTGCAGCCTTTGCCAGTGACCGATAAAGCCTATTCTATTGGGCGATTTGTTTTTTTAATACATTTTTATTCGTTTTATTGTATGTAATTTATATGTCATTTTCTTGAAAGTGAATTGCTAGTTTGCGTTGTTTCACAGATAAGGCTACAGGTGAATCCTAATAAATTATAATGTTAAATTGTAAATAGAAAATGTGTTTAAAAATATCAATGAAAAGAGGAAGAACGTCATTAAAGATTTGATTTATTGTAGCCACTGGCAAAAATATTATAGCTATACACTGAAAAAAATAAGTCATTGGATGAACATAAAAAAATTATGGAAAGGATTTCCACCTGATTACTTTGCTTTATTTCAGCACCATGTACTTGTGTTACTCCTATTTAAAGCAAATGTGTTAGGTCAACCTAATTTATTAAGATTATTCCAATGTAAAGCAAATGTGTTGGCTCCACTTGTTACAATGGTGATTCAATGGGTGATTCTAAATCAAACATGTTGGCTCAACGTAATATATTGTGGTTATTCTTATATAAATAAAATGAGTTGGCAAAACATAATTCATTAAGGTTGTTCTAATTTAAACCAAATATGTTGGCTTAACCAGAATTATGGTAAGGCAATGGATGATTGTAAATCAAATGAGTTGGCTCAACTCCATTCATTAAGGTTATTCAAATTCAAATGAAATGTGTTGGCTCAACATATGTTTTAAAGGTTCCTTTAACTCAGTTACTATAGCATGACCCAGTGTAGTGCAATACAGCCCGCCCAACTAATCTGCAATGTTTAGGACCAAATCATTGATGTAACTTCATTAAGATTAATGTAAATCTAGTTGAAACCACCTTATTTTACAGTGGTATCTTCACACTACCTGATTCAGTAGGTCCAACTCACTAAAAGCAAGTTAGCTCAACAATATGCTTCATGCTAAAAGACAGCTAGTTAATCGTGTGGAAATCCTTTCCATTATTTTATGACGTTAATTCAAAGACATATTTTCAAGCAGTTAATTCAAAGTTCAATCGTTTTGGAATCCATGAAAGAGATAGCGTAGGCACTAGAAAGTGTAGGAAGAACACTCACAATTAGAAAGGTACAAAACAATTGTATTTTCAGAATTGTTATACATCGTTTTTTTACACAGCACAAAACACAGCTGAGTTGGACATTGAAATAAAAAAACAACTACAAAAAGGTTACAGTTTCATTTCCCAGCCAATTCTTTACAACATAAAACATGTCAGTATAGTTGCTCAACTTAGAGAACTGTAACAATATAAATCTTTTCTACTGCAGACTTTAAACACTCATTTTCCCTGTGAAACTTTGCTCAACTTAGCAGCGAGTTTCATATTGAGAACTTGTGCTTTCTTTGATAAGTTCTTTCCATCCAATTTCATTATTATTTTCTGTATTACTTCAAAGGTATGCTTGAGTTACTGAGCAAGTTGAGTGCTGAACGCACTAAACTTGAGGGTAGCTCAAGTTTAGTGCATAGATTAGTCCCAGCAGCATCACTATTGCAGAAGATACACTGCCCAAGCTGTTCATAACTTCCACCTCCTCCAGGACAATCCCAACATCCAGATGTGCATCGGCAGCCTCTGCACCCTCTGCTCAAATGACGATTCCGAGGACAGCCTCGGCTTTGGCCATTTCTGCGCATTCATCAACGTCCTAAGGGAGTTAGGGAAGGGTATTGGGGGGGAGACAATTCACATGTAATTAAATAAATAAATTAAGACTGACATTGATTGAGTCACTCATGGACCTTAGTTGGTGAAAGTATTTTAACAACTCTTAGGAGTTCTATTGTAAACACAAAGAGAATTTAACATACCATGTACTCCCTCACCAGCTTCTCTGGATCTTCATTTAGGTACACACAGACCTTTGAGGATGCACTCTCGTCTGACCTCAGCAGTGTCTTCCTAAATATGCAGATCAAAAAACAATGAGAACAATCTCAAAACTCCAGCAGTATAGGTTCACACACTTGAAAACATAGCTACATTCAAAGGAAGTGACAACAAAAGTGATCAGTGGCTTGCAGTCTATTTGAAAGATATTTAAAATTGTTAGTATCCCTTCATTATGCCATGACTAAAATGGAGTTTAACATCTCATTTAAACATCTAACTGAAGCTGTTAGAGGTTTAAATAAAGACATGAATATATCACCAAAGAAATATGTGAAAAGTACAGAATGGTCAACACAGTCTATATCCTTCTACTTAAATGAATATGCAAAGCATTCCATGTCTTACAAGTACATGGACAGTCTATGTGTGGGCATGGATAACGTCGCATATGCCGGTGTTTAAGTGTAAAATGTTTTAACAGGTCATATCTACGAGACAGAGAGAGACTACACTCCTTACATTTCCACATCCCCACGCAAATAAAGACAAATAAAACAGACTGGCCAAATAAATGTTTAGCTGAACTCTAGCTCTATAAGCTCTCTAACACTACATTCAGTCACTTAGATCTGGCAAAACTTACTATTAGCCACTGAAATCTATAACTTGATAGCCGATGAGCCCCTTGACCAGTACTTACGCAGGTGGATTACAGACAGGTGATGTTCTGAAAGAGATCAGATATATTTTCAGCCATTAAAATATGCAATTCATACTGAACTGAGTTGTATCTTTTAGTACAAGTCCCTTGAATGCCTCATGAATATAACCACTGGACACTTGTATGCAAGCACATATGTGCAGAACAATGGTGAATTGAACATGGTAGAAAGCAATAGTAACATAGGTCAAAATGAGCACAAACAATCAACACAAAAAACATCAACATTTCAAAATTAAACCAATGAACTTCAATATTGTTTCTGAGCTACAATTATTTGGGGACAACAAAGAAGAGTCCAAAAAACCCCAACATCTTTACAGCAGAGGAATATGTATTTTAAAGAAAAAAAATAGAAAGCTCAAGTCTGTAATAATGGATAATCCATTGAGAGTTTTAGCCTGACAAAATATACTAGAAATCCATAACTAACAGGTATTTTAGGAACATTTAACAAAGCTCAGAAAGCAATGCTTTCTGCAGGTTTCACCGACTGAAATGTAGGACTTTTTATTACCATAATTAATTAAGAATCTCGATGATGATAGAAAGGTACCAAAGTGTGTGTGTGTATCTACATTTACCTCCATAGTAACATTACTGAAATAGAATTAAAATAGTTAGAAATAGACTGATGTTAGATCAGTGTGTTAAAAATCCACTAAACCTCCAGGGAGCTCAGGAGGAGCAAAACTGTGACATTTCCGGGGTCCATTTGTGTCTCTGGCAGCAGCTTTGTACACTACATATGGCTCTGCAGACTTTTTTCGCACAGAATGTACCTAACATGGTGCGGCGATAAATGTAAACAAAAAGCTATCTGCCTTAACCTAACCGACTTAATCTACAGAACATGAAATAATGTGACACAAGTATGGAACAAGTAGAAAATGGTGCAAATGGTAGAGAAATTTTAAGTTACATATTTTTATATGGATTTAGATGAAAATAGTTTGACTCTTACCTTCTTCAAATTAAGTAGATGCACGCCAGGAATCTCCCCTCTGCCCTTGAAAAAACCCAACAAGGTGCAAGCCAGTTATCTCGCGTGATTTTCCGTAATCTCTTGATGTCTCTGGATCCTCTTCAGCGGGAGATGAGTCTGACACAATAGCGCTTTGGAACTGACGTCACTGTGTTTTTTTATTAGATTAACTTTGACAAATATTGATATTGAATAAAATAAAAAAAAAAACATATATATATATATATATATATATATATATATATATATATATGTTTAAAAAAAAAAAATATATATATATATATATATATATATATATATATATATATATATATATATATATATATATATATCTTGGCACAGCCAAGATACTGCGCAGGAACCTCAAGCTCCCAGGCCTCTGGTAGAGGCCTGGGAGCTTGAGGAATTAGATGTATTCAAGTTGAGATAACGTCATTCAATAACGTTAGTCCAGTTGAGAGAAAAAAAACCGATTGTCTCGCGTGTTCTCGCGTGATATCCCGTGATCACTCGTTGTCGTCAGCACAATATCAGTCTAACTATAATGAATCATGTTAGCTCAACATGATTCAATTTATAAATGTGAAGTGGAATATCTTGTTTATCCAACATGATTTTATCACGTTTTCGCTTCAAACCCAACATTATTGTGTGAAAGGTACATGATATTTTTTTGTTAATGTAATACGCCCCGACGTTCTTTTTTTTTTTGGCGGAAGATCTAGCTGACGTAATTGAATCACGTTATCTCACCTTGAATACATTTTATTCCATTTGCGAGAAAAAACCGATTGTCTCGCGTATTCTCGCGTGATATCCCGTGATTTCCCGTAATATTGCGTGAACCTGCGTGATATCGCGTGATCTCACTCGTGGTCTTCAGCATAGGATCGGTCTGACTATAATGAATCATGTTCGCTCAACATGATTCAATTTTATAAACGTTGAAGTTGTGGAATATCTTGTTTATGCAACATGATTGTATCATGTTTTTGGCTCAAACATGCAATTATTTAGTTAACAGTACATGATTCTTTTGTTAATGTGATAACCCCTGAGGTTCCTTTTTTACAGTGTACAACATATATAAATCAATTGCTTGTTTAGCCATCGTTTGGAGAGGTTTTAAACAAAGTAATACGCTCAAAGGTATCAGTCAGAGGGAGGGTATGAAAAAATTCTCTACCAATATGATTGGCAACTGCATACTAAAGACTAAAACACGTATTTTAATGTAACAAAGAGCAAGTCTTTGTTCCATTGCATGTAAAGATCTAAAATGGATTCTTAAAAAGAATGCTTAGTTAAATTTTGTCACTTCAACACATCATGGTTACAATAAAGTCTCACCCACACGCAAGAACGATCTCAGACAAATAAGAGTTAAAGGGTTTTGAAGTGGAGGACTGGGTGAAGGTTGGGAGGGTGAGCGGGTCCAGAGAGCGGCGCAGAAAAGGAGGCGGTGAAAATCCAAGGCTGCTGAGCAAGAATGTTGATCTGGCGGGCGGCTTGACCTGAGATTAATGACGAAGTCTGGGAGACGCTCACAAGGAAACCGAGCAGAGAGACGGAAACCTTTAAGAATGAGGTTAGTTAGGCATTCAAAGCGCACAGAATAAACAGAGGAGCGACGCAGGTTAACACTCAGCCGACGAGCGATCAGCAGCCGGCTCATTTAGGACCGATAAAACCCAGGTGTGCGGAGGGAAACAGAAAAAAAAAATACCACACAGACACAAATAACCCAGTTCCTTGATATTCAGATGGTCCTGATATATTTAGCATTTTGTTGAGAGCCAGATATGGTTTACAAATAGATACATTTTTATTTTATCCATTTAAATCTAAATTTCCAGTTAATAGCATGTTAATCCCACTTTGCCTTTTATAAAATGTCCTTGAACTGAATTATTTCAGTGCATTTATCAAACTGATTTCATGTCTTTTTAAATGACGCAAAATACATGTTTTATGAAACAAATATGTATGTCAACAACTTTTCTGGGTTCTCTACTAAAGTCGCCTTAATTATTCTGTCATTAATCATCTTTAAAGAGGGCGGAAAATTAAGTAACAAAAAAAAGGATAGAGAAGTGAATCTTAGAAATGTTTATTAAACCTTCTGCCACTCAAGAGACTCTAATGGTCTCTTCCTCTCCTGTCAGCATAAACTGTTGGATGTGTAAAGTATTTAAATGAATGTGCTGACCTGCACGTTCTGTCATTGATGTAAATCAGTTGAATGTATTAGCATGTACTGGATATTATTCACAAGCATCTCTCTAGATTGAATCCGTTTCACCGGAGCAGGACAGAAATGTTTTATATACGTGAGATTACTTTCCTCTCAAAAATGTCAAATGCCAAGCAAGAAATGTTGCACTTTAGTATTATTTTTTATTTTTTTTAAATGTATCACTTCTTCACAAAATAAATTCTTGAAATGTTCCTTGTGAGCATCGCACCGTCTTAAAAACAACAACAACAACAAAAAAAAAAACGAGTACTGTGAAGTTTGATATGGGCATGTCCAACTATGCTGGTGATCATGACGTAATCAGTCTCACAGTCTATCAAAATTCAATTTATCAATCCAATGATCAAATTGTATAACTATTCCAAGTCTATTTTCTAATATCTACCGATTATAAGTAAAAGAAACAAAAATAAATCTAAAAGCCAATGCACTACGCTCCACTACAGATGAAAGGGCAGAATTATAACGAGGGATTAAACATTTTACATATAATCTAAGACCATTAAAGCTTTAAGATTTTGGCCTGTCTGGATTAGAGAAGAAGGTCTTTTATTTCTAACTTTAACCTAAGAGAGAGAAAAAAGGAGGACAAATGTAAATTTCGAGAACCTTCTGAACATGTCAGCTTTCAACACCACAAGGGCAGAACTGGAAAGTGTCTCTTACTTTTGGCGAGACGAAGCTGCTGAGTCTGATGGAGCTGCGTTGTTTCATATCAGGTGATCCAGTCTCGCTCTGCTCCAGGGATAATTGGCCTTCTGCTTTCACAGCGACTCCGTCCGCCGTGAGGCAGGCAGGCAGGCAGGCAGCTCTGGTCCAGCTCCATGGTGGCTTTCGCTATCGGCTGAGGAGAGGAAGCGTCGCCGAGAGCTGATGGGAAAATATAGATCGCTAGTCAGGAGTAAATCCAATTAATATTTCTTCTAAACATGTTTTCTAAGCTAAAGTAGGAAAAACAAAAACAATCACTACTTTATAGATAATTACCATTTATCATGTTCCAATTTTTAAAAGTGAATATTCTGTTTAATCACATTGACATTCAAGGTTCATAGAGAATACATAACACATTTATCACGATTCTCACGTTTGCCCCATTAACCACCAATGTCATGAAAACATTCCTATTTCGTGGTTTTTCCCGTCACAAGCCATGAAAACAAAAATATTACTTTGATTGGACTTGTGATCATAAAACAACATTTGAAGGCGGGTTCAAATGTTGGACGGGTTCATTTGATTGGCGTCTGGCGTCACCATTTGAATTTGATTTTGTTTAAGTACAACAATGCACACAAGATAAATGTCATGCACTTTAATCTTTAAAGTGTTTGTTTTAATTTCCTTTCTCATTCAACCGTTAATTAACCAAATCTATTTAAAAAAAATTGTTTCTGGTCTTTCCTGACCAAAGTCTAATTAGTGGCAGATCTTTTAACGAAAGAAATTTATTCAATAAAAACCCATCTGGAAAACATCAAGTAGTTTAAAAATGTCACTAAAAGGAACGAGTCACAGACTGATGTCAAAAAAATTCAGAAAAAAAACGACGTCACTGTTATCTGTCACTGTCAGTGGGCCAAAATGTAAAAGACTCATTGATGCTCCCGAAAAATGCTTGACTGCAGCTGTTACCTCCAAGGATAGCACTATCAGTTATTAGGTTTAGGGGGCAATTACTTTCACAAATAGGACTGGGACTGATAGCTTTTTCCTAATTTTGAAAGCTAATTTGACACTTTGAAGTGTGACAAGTGTAAGAAAGGGAAGAAATCTGCAAGAGTGCAGATTTGATGCATTAGATCCAACAAGATCATTCCAGACATCATTCTCGCTTTTGAGAGATAACTTAAAATGGGCTTTACGTCACCGCTGTCCTTGGGTGACACCTCAAAATTAAAAAAATATATGTATATGAAAAAAATCAGCTGGTCAGACTTTAAAGGACTGCAATCAGCCAGGAAATGCAGTATATTAATCACGTTATGCCTTCTCACCTTGGACTTTAATCCATTATCCATTCAGTAGTTTCTCGACGTCTTCATTGCTGCTCTTGAATTTCTGCTTGATTTGTACAACTTTTTGGACAATTTTTTTTTTAGTATGTGACATTACAAAATGATCACTCTTGAACAACAAAGAGATCATTTGTAGCAACTTTTATATCTAATTTCACAGATCAGTCCGTCAGTCCATCGCTTCTCTATAATCTCGTTAAAGAGAGCCCCCTTCGAGCCCATTAATCAAGACCATAATGGCTTTGAGCTAGCACAAAGTAACCAACACACAAAACAAGCCTGAAAGTGCCCAATTTCCCTTTAAGTAAACATGTCAGCGTGTATTTAAAAACTCCGGCTTATGTAACTATTTAAATTAGAGACAGTGACCCCATTTTTCATTTCTTTCTGTCTCTTTTTGGAAAGTGGAGCTCTCTTTGCAGACAGGAGGCCGCGGTTCGTTGTACGCCGACTGACTTGCTGAGAACGCAGTAGTCCTCTGCTACCCCTTCAGGCACCATTCAGAGGCTGGCCCGTAGGGTGTTGCTTTCCTTTTCATCACTCTCATCCTTTAGAACATGCCCACAGGAGGTGACAGTTCTGTGCCAGCGAAGCAGTGAAGTTGTGCAAATATGCTGCACTTTTTAGAACGTCTTTTGTCTTAGCCTTCAGAGATCATTTTGAGACGACAAAAAGGGAGGGAAAAAAAAAACAATTGGCAGTGACTCTATTTTGTGTGATAATATGAAAAAAGTTGGTTAAGAATGTTGTGCTACGCATGCAGATGGAAAGGTTTGTTTATTAGAAAGTAGCTTGTCAGTTTGACTGGTAATTGGC